GAAGCAAGGAGCAGCACACTGGCATTCTAACCCAAGTTACCACTAGAGCCCCAACCTATGGGCAATGGACACTGTTAACTCCTCCTCCTCCTTTCCCATAACGAGGGGAAGGTGACATGGGAAGATCTTAATAGTGAACGAGGGGCTGTTGGCATAGAACAAGCAAACAGGAAAATCAGGGAACTGAAGAAGGATTGTTACAGATGGATCATGAGAAACTTGTCTGTAGAGTAACAGTTCATTTTCCATTCATGTTTAGTACAACTCTGACATTGCCACTGCTCTTCCAAGTCATACTTTTCTAGTCAAAACTGTAGTGATGTTTCTTTCCAAAGCATGCTTATTTGGAAACTTTTGTATTAACAACAAGGCTTTAATTTGGAGTTAGGGATGGAACTTTTCAAGCAACATCGCTCTTTCTGTTTTCAAGCATTTATGCAGATCTTCTACACTGTGTACTTCTTCCTTTACAGATTGTGCTCATATTACAAAGTATGATAAAGTATTTTTGCAGATTTTTTTCAGAAAGATGGTTAGCATATCCTTCAAAGAATGAACAATGAGTGCAATGCACTGTCCAATTTTCTACCTTGTAATGGCAAATGCCCTGCATTTCTAAAATTTAAATTGTGTCTCCTGATCAAGAGACTGAAATGTATAATTCTGAGAACTTTGGAAATAGGCAAAACCCAGTTTCTGATGCATCTATGCTTTGGAGACTATCAAAAAGTCTACATAAGATTTTTTCTGTCATAGGGTCCATCAGCTAGGGGCTGATGCTGATATCTTGCAAAACTAAGCATCTCCTCTTAGACCAGAGACCCACTAACATTTTTCTACAAGTTAGTTAACTTCTAGACTTTGTTGCTTTGTGAAATTTCTCTGCAAACCACCATCGGCTCATGAACAGAATACGCACATTCACATGCAAAGACTAGTAGATGCTTAATGTAACTGTTCAAGCTTTGCATCTTTAAGAACTAATTTTTAGACGTATGCAGACTTGAAGCTTCTCTCTGCAGATGAAAATGCAGAAATATAACAAATATTTGCTAAATGATCTCAAATTATTTTCAGAACAATTTAATTATTTTTCCATTATTCTGAAAACATTCAAATCCTATTTTAAAAAACTACATAAGATTATTTATAGCCATAGTTTCTCTCATTAAATAAAATTTAGCCATTTAAATCCCATCCAGTTTATCTTTTTAGATCAGATAAACTTGCAGTGAACCTGGGATTCTTCAGGGTCTGTTCTAGTGGGGTGTTTTCAGTTTAAACAGCTGTGTTGTTACAATTTCCTTTTACATGTGACTTGAGGGTACCCATTTGCTTCACAATTAAGGACATAGCACCTACAAATGTTCAGCTAACCAGATTGTTAATTGCTATGTTTGCTTTATGCTTTCTCATATAAATAGAAAATATTCCTCCTGAAACTGTATGGTTCAAAGGTTCAAACATTATCTTCCTAACTTTTCTCAGGTTACTCAGTTTTTTTCTTTTCCCTCTACTCTCTGTCGAAGGATATTACTAATATAGGTTTGCATACTCCATGTTATCTCTTCTAGTCTCTGCTTCAATGAAAGCTTTTGCCTTTGTGGAAATCAGTGCGGAATGTTTTCTTCAGAGGCAGCCAGCAAAAATTGAGCTGGTTTTAGAGCAAAGTCATCAGTAACAAATAAATAAATTGTATGCTTGTGATAAACTGAAATTGAGTGAAATATGTTAAAAAATACACCTTACTAAGATTATTTGCAATACTTAAGGTTTGTATTTGGTTTTATTAATTCTTATGTACATGTCTAACTTTCTCCACTGGTAAGTTACTTTTGCTTCCACCTCTCCTAATATTTCTATCTAGTTCATCTGAATTCTCAAATTCCCTGAAGATTGTCTTTAGATAAAATTAGAAGCATAACTGCTTAATAAATAGGAGCATTGCTCTGTAAACATACAATACAATGTCAGCACTTCTGTCATGTGATTTCTGAGTGGAATTTAATATATGAGCTGTGAATAGCTTATGACCATTCCCATAATGTGGGATTCATGTAAATGTAGATGCAGCTGAGCCAGTCCCTCATTACAGTCTGAATAGATGAATGAGAACTTTCAGGGGTCACTTCACTTCATGCCAAAGTATATATACTGCTTTCATTGCAAGCTACCTTTGTGCATTTTTATCCATGCATAACTTGGAGAAATTGCTGATTTTTCTGCATTATATTTTGTGAAGACGCTTACGCTGATTAGCTCAGATGCCTTTGTCTATCACAACCAAACTCTCACACTAATTAGAATTGAGAGAGACTACTTATTTTCTATGAAATACGTCTGAACTTTTATTTAAATTTCAACTTGGTCATGCTGTTTTCAAGTAAAGGCTGTTGAAAAGTGGCCAATAAAAGGCCAGAATTCTGGACTTCCCTCTAGCCTTCTGAGGAGTAGTCCAGACATGCTGCCAAACTCATTTGTTCCTGTGGAATTTGTTCCTGTGAGGGTCAAGAGATCTTTAGAAATCCATTTCCTATGACTCAATTTATGACCCTCATGTCTCAGTCAAGAGAAATAATTATTTATTGACAACATGAAGAGAACATCCAGTTCAGGTGCTCTGTTATGGACCACTTGTTTGACCTGTGTTTAGCCCGGAGCATAGATGATTCTCCACTAACACTGCATAGGATTGTCAGTGAAGTCTACAAAGAAAAAGCATCATCAACAGCTGCAGTCAATCATGAAGAGGCATATTTATGAAGATAATTTTTTTATTAAACCCTTTTTTCTATCTCACATTCACATAATGAAGCCCCTGACAGAAGCTCTGTTTAAAGTCTAACATGATGTGTGGGTTAACTTCTTCTTGGGCAGATAATGGTCAGTGATTGACGTGTCCCCAAAAGTTTTGTTGGCTTGGAGAGAATTTCTGGAACCGTGCAAAACTACTCATCTAGTTTATACATTTGGAGGTTGCTGCTAACCATCCCTGGCATATGAGCTAAACATAGCAGCGTTCAATAATGTGCTGTTCACAAAGAAAATGGGAACATGGAGGATGATGCTGCATGTCAGCACACATGATGAGAAGGCAAAGGTCACTTAGCAAGGCATAAACAATTCACTTAGCAAGGCATAAACTATGAACAGCAAGGCAGGTGACAGCAGTTCTGATGACAGCATCCTCACACTCAGGACTGACATATCTGCCAAAGGTGGACTTGGCAGATGGCCACACATCACAGCAAGCAGTATTTTGCATGGAAACAGATTTCAGAATGCTGTTAAAAAGGGGTTCAAGTCTCACCCCTGAAAACTAGGCTCACTTTACCAGTGCTCTTACCAAATTATATGCTACTAAGATAATGTTCAGGAATAACATGGTTTTGATATGAGTCTATTTTTACTTTCTTACTTCCAAATTAATATAAGCATGACTTATCAACCCCTCCCTCAAAATAATTATAGTAGCAAAGCAGTTTGTGTAAGAAGAAAGTAACTGGAAATTTATAGAGTAACAGGATTAACAATTATTAACATTCATTATTAAAATTCTATTTCAGCTATATAATTAAACAATTAGCAAAACACCTTGAGGACTATGAACCATGGAAAATCCTGAGGAAGAAAAATACAAGAAATTCTAATAGATATCTTTTAAAAATTCAGCTGGCCTATTGCATTAACTACAAACAGTGATCACAACTGGTTAAAATATCTCAAATCTAAAACACACTAAACAAGTCTAAAGTTGTATACATTTCATTATGGGTTATCAGTACCATTAAACCCAGACCATTTCAAAACCTTGCAGCATACTAACACACCTATAAATTTAAAGTTTACTTGTAATAGCCGTTCACTGACTGTTTCTGTGCTTTTTAAGACTTGTAGTTTGTAGTTTCTCTGTTAATGCTGTGAATTTCTTGAATTGTATAAATAGTTTTGACAATTAGCTTATTTTAATTACTTTAAAGCAAAATTAACATCTATGAAAGGTGAAAAATATTTAAATACAGAAATTTCCTATTGATTGCTATAATTTTTTTCTTAAATGCATATGATCCTTTACTACTCTTAATTATTTTAATTATGATTTCTGCATGTCAATTAGAATTGGTTCAGAATAGAAAATTCCACCCCCTCTCTGTCTCTCAAAGTAGGTAAGCACAAATATTCTTAAGAGGGGTTTTTTGTATATAGAGTATATCTAAACAAGGAAGAGAGCACCCAAAAGTAATTGAAAAGGGGCATAATTCTATAAAGTCAAAACTAACATAAAACCAATGCAGACCCTTTTTTTTTTTAGAGCAGTAATTATCTCAGCCTGAAACAGGAAAATTGGAACATTGATGACATATGTCAGTAAATTAACTGAAATACTAATGAAGAAATAGGATTTCTATAATCATACATAGCATGACTAAGTAAAAGAAAAAAGGGAGGAAGCTATCCTAGTTTAAACCTAAGACATGAGAAAAAACACATCTTAACCTGAAAAAAATACCCTGGATTGTTTCCCACTGAATAGCTCGTAGAACAGCTAATTGTTTTAATTCTTATGTTATTAAAGTGTTTTCATCTTTAGGCTCTGTAAATTTTTAGTATTTCTCAGGAAGTGTGTTGGAGATGGGATGTAGAATCCCATTGCTCTGAAACTTTTCCTCTCTGAGAGTTACAGTGAACTGTAAGTTAGTGAAGCTCTGAAGGTCCTAAATTACTGTGGGATATTCACAAACCCTGGGACTGAATATGGCCTGAAACTTTATTGCATGTCACTTGGGATCATATAATTCTTTTCCTTCTACATTTCTTCTGACTTATACACCCAGGTAGGCTTCTATTTATGGCCTATCAGCGTGTCGGAAAGAGCTATTTGGCCCTCAGTAAGGGAGAGGATATTCCAGGTTTAATGAAGTACATAAAATCCTACTTTGTGCCCTCTCGAGTCTTCCATGGAAGCTGTGGCTCGGTGTAACTGTTGGGAGAGTACTTACTGCATTGAAGTTGGGGAAGAGATTCACTGCTGCGGCAGTGTCCAGAGGAAACGGGAGGAACGGCTTAATATCCAGCGATGGCTGCAAGGGTGGTGCAGGAGGACGCACCAGGGCTGGGAGAGCAGGGCTCTGGCATGTACCACCTGCATGCAAAAAGAGACAGAAAGCATTCAGCAGGCGATGTGATTAGCCGGGGGGGATAAAAGCCAGCACGCCCACACACAAAGCAACAATAAAAAGACAATACTGGATCAAACAAATACATTTTGACTTATCCAAAAATTACTGCATTAGTGAAAAAAAGCACAGCTGACTCAGTGACTGAGCTGGTTATAATTCTTTGCCAGCAATTGCTTTAGGTTTCAGTCTATTGTGATTAGAATTACCTTATGAACCATTTATTTCCATGGACAATCTGGAACAACAGTTCAGCATATGTCTAACTTCCTTTGAGACCTTCAGCTAGTTTCATTGTCTTATAATTTCAGCACTTCATCCCTACCCTGTTGCTCAACCCTACAAAGGCAGATTACTCAAAAAGATTAAGAACAACTTGCTTATCAGCTCAGCAAAAGTCATGTTATTTGCAGACTTCTGTTTTTTTAATTAAATGCTCACTCATGGAGCCAACGGCTTCCGTTTCAACCTAAACCTCACAAACAGAACATACCTTGCTGCCTCAACAGTTGATCAATACAAATGTAAAAATAACAGTTTCAGGAGCCACTGAAATTCTGTTTATGGGAAGGTACCAATGAACACTTTCTGCTCTTTGCAAGGGGTGGAGCTGATTTAGACTCTGTGAAGCAGAAATCTCCTCCCAGCAAACCACCAGCTCTGTGGGAATGTAATGCAAATGAAGAAATCCCCTTGCATACCAATAAGGTACTACCTATTTGCAGTGGACCTTATTTTGCTTATTTGTTTGCCCCTGGCCACAGCCAGCTACAAGCTGGAAGGATCCAAGTTCATTCTCTGCTTTCAGTGTCTCCTATATTGGTTGTACTCCAAAACATCAATTCTCTGTTAATTAAAGACTATTTGGATCCTAGGAAACTGTTAAAATATGCCAGTGTTCTTCTAATCTGAGAGGCAGGCAACAGACTGTAAAAACCTGCTGGTAAGAGTCCAAGAAACATTGAAAAAAAAATGAAAGGGGAATTTTGTCCTACTCACTGAACAGGGACACAGGCAGACAGATCAACAGAGGGAGAGATGTGATTTTTTTTTCCTTTTTACCTCTCATACATACAGACATTTTATTAGACAAGTTGCATACATGCTTTAGGAGTGCAAATATAAAGTAGTCAGAATGATATATGACATCTCTCCATATTTGGCCAGCAAATCTGCTAACAAGGTTTGTCATGTTATACATCTAATTGAGGGCTAAAAACATAAGACTTAATTAACCAGTAGTAGAAGATCATCCAAGTTGTGCTTCTAGATATAAAATCAGCTGGAGCCAGATTTTGAAGACCGTATTTTTTTGCCAACTTTCAACTCCTCTGTGAAGCGTTTCACTAAGAATCACTAGTAAATTAAAGGTAGTGGATTAGGGGGGTCACTGCAATCTCATTATAGTTTTTAATTCCAAGAATAACTACCATTTTTGGTTTAGTTTCTACATTGTACCTCAATATAAGTGT